AGATGGGTAGATGGCGCAGGTCAGTGCAGTGTGGGCTCAGCAAAATTCCCCTCTTGACTTGACTATTAAGCTGATGAGTGAATTTTGACCTTGCACAGAATTTGTACCTTCATGGAAGTGAAGTTTCTGATGCGGTCAAACTCAAAGATCATCTCCACATAACCCTTGGGGAGGCTCTTGTTATTCCAGCCCACGTAGTCGTAGCCCGGCCACATGCCGTATATGTGGCTGTGGAGGAAATCATCCAGACCCCAGGTGCCATCTGTCAGCTGGCCGAGGCCCTTTGTCAGTCTAATGCAGGGACGGACGAAAGAAATCAAGCCTGAAAACACAAACTTTTGAAGTTGCACTCACTGATTTTTATTTTATTTGTTACTGCTATGTCAGCATTAAACTAGAATGTTACTGCATTCACACTAAGGTAAGCAAACAACTACACTGTGACATATATAGTGAGCGGGGTAGGAAAAATCCAGACCTTTCAGCTGATGCTCCATCATACACCGAGTCATTAAAGTAGACATCCAGGCCTCTGTAGATCATTTCCTGCCCTTCTGGAATGCTATAAGACATCAGGCCATCTACAGGGAGCAGGTCGAAGGTCAGAGACTGTGATACGTACTGCATGCAGATAGGACATAATGACGTCTAAGTAACGAAATCAGTACAGACGGTGTTTGATTAAAAAAAAGAAAGATAAACTTCAGTGTAGGTGCTGCACTCGGTGTAGTGGACGGCGATGACCGACCCAGCCATTCACAGCCGTAGAGCTCCACTCTCATGCACACGATCATGGAGGGGTCCGTCACAGGCATGAAGCGGACGAAACGGGCAATGATGGGAGGCTCCAGATCCTTCAGCACCACATCGTACGCATTTCGATTCCCCTCGATGACCTGGCAGAGGAGACGCGGATGACACAAATAAGACTGAAGGAAGCCCGTCAGCTCACACGCTACGTCAAATCTCTTTTGGGATCTGGACGAATCTGAATTGACGTTCCTTTATCTCATGCATCTGCTGGTTCAGCTGCGTCTTAACTTTCCATGAACTGCGCTACGGTCTGCTGCACAGAAGATCTCCTTGCCATCTGTCAACAGTGTTGGAGGAAGTCTTCGGATCAGATCATTGAATTTAGTGAAACTATAAATACTATTTTGGGATAATATGAAAAAGATTGGATGTTTTGATAGCAAAATGTGCTATATATTGTACCATAAAAAACGGCACCACGTGGATCTACAATCCATTCATTAATTAGTTTTGCAATTTCATATGTTGTTGATTAGTATATTACATTGAACTAAATTTGATGAGCTTGTCATCTGTGGTTAGTGTCTAGTTTAATCAACGACTAAGTATAGCGGTTAAATGCCTGCAGTTGCTTCCCCATATGAAAACTGTCATATGCACATAACAATGTGATGTATCAATCCCGTTGATACATCACATTGATGTTCTGTCCCTCTCCACGCCTTCATCTGACACAACTATAACGTTCCGATTACGTGTCAAGCTCAATTGAACCACACCATGAAACGACGGCAGAGGGTAACATCTCACCTGGCTTCCCTTCCTGTCATGCCAGCCCACCCAGTTGGTGCCGTCGCGGCTATACTTGATCCTGTATCGCTGGGCAAACTCATTACCCATACCGTCGGCGTGGCGACCTTGGGTGCCCACCAGCGTGATGAAGTGCAGTGAACGCAGGTCCACCTGGAGATACTCTTTGAGGCCGTCCGGTTCCGACATGATGTCAGGGCACCAGGCCCCGTCCCCGTCTCCGTTGTCTAAGTCAAGCCTGGAAAGGCGGGAGTGCGAGAGGTCAGGTGCCCAGGCGAGAGGAGCGGGGTGAATCAGAGGAGGGGATGGACGAAAAGGGATCAAATTCTCTACTACTAACTATTGAAAGGCAGTCATTCGCTATGCAATGTTCATTTTTTACATCAGAACGTATTGGATTGCTCAACATTGCTGCTGGTCCACAGCTGTGAAAAACAGCTCTATCATTATTCAGCATGGCTCCAGTTAATGAAACCTTCACGTACGCCGAGCTTAAAAATTTCATTCTTGACTTTGGCAACAGCAGATGAAAAAAACACTTTCCACTGGATCTCATTTTAGTGGCGGTTTCTGCAAAATGCATCTGCTGATGAAGCTCACCTTATTTAATCAAAAGCCCCAGGACAGTCACTAAATGGATTTTGATAAAATATTTTTTTATCAACTTTCCCATATGTTGTTCCCAACACCAAGGCTTTTTGCCAGAAAAAACAATGTGACATAAATTGAAGAATGACTCTATGGACGTTAGTTAAATTAGACCTAAACACCCTTTATGCTGCCATACTGATCAATGACGTATAGTTATAAAAGTGCTACCCAAAGAAAATGGAAAAATCAAGATGGGATATAAGAAAAGAATCATCATGCAACGTGCCTGCCAAATCTTGCAGCAGTTGACTCTGACCACTGACTGGAAGCAGAGATGTCCTCGTCCTGAATCTGCCCACCGGTCATACCGAGAGGATACCGACACATTTCTACAAACACAAGACGCACCCGTGATACACATGCTGCTCACATTTTGAATATGCACGCGAGCCGGACACCCCTGTATTCCTTCACACGCCATCATTTTATTTTTTCTGCTTGCAGGATGTGAGGTATGGAGTGTGAAGTGGTCCCGTCTTGACCCCCCCCCCCCCACCCTCCCCCCTCTCCTCTCCCCTTCCCCGGCCCCTTCCTGCAGCCCTGCGAGGCCTCAGAAGCCACACAGAGGCGTTACTGTGTAGGTACCAGCCCAAGCAAAATGAGCTGGCCAAGCCCTCTGAGCTGCCTGCTCTCAATGTTTCATCCTTTTTATTATAAGCTTTACCAGCAGAGTGAAACATTTTATTTTTCATTTTTAAATCCTAAGCATCTGGCCTCATCTCTTATGTAATAAAGATAAGTTTGGCAGCAACAGATGCCACGTTACATAGAACTGATATGATTCAGTCACCATTCTGTACATCTGCTCAATGCATCTACCAGAGTGTCGGTGTTTATTCTCAACATCTCTACCTGCTAATTAAGCGTCGTCTGTGTTTTATTCATCTTCCCAAACCGAAATCCCTGACATATACTTTGAGAGAGCGGTAGAACCAATGAGCCTTTTACTGTGAAAACTATTCCAAGTGGGAAACTCAAAAGAGTGTGTGTGTGAGAGTGTGTGAGAGTGTGTGTGTGTGTTACTTACACCTATGCCTACACATTTTCTAACTTTCTTTTTTCCATGAATGCCCTCCGCTTGTGAAAGGTCTGCCTGTTCTGAGGGTATTTGCTGTCTGACCATTAGGTAAACCATATAGATACACACACTCCTACACACACAAACACACACACACAAGCCCTTTGTACATTCTTGCATTCTAAGCCCACCCACCTAAAATTGCTTCCCTCTCCCATCTTGTCAACATTCTTCTCCCTCAAGAATATGAGGAGTTTATTTTGAGCTCATGTACGACATATTGACCAGCTCATTCTTTAATCCCGCATTAAAACAACTACACTTTCATCAAACTAAAGTCATTGATTGTTTGACCCGTTTGAGCCCTGCATCACACCAACAGGCCAAAGTGTCCTCGGGCAAAATATTTAACCCCCTTCTTGCTCTGAGGAAGAACGTCACGGATGCAAAATACCTGGGTTGACCTGAGATCGGACGGTGACAGCCAGCAGGATAACGAAGACGTGGTGTGAGATCTGTCGAACCTTCATGACCCTGATCTCTTCTCAAGGAGCTGCACACCTAACATGCAAATGTAGCATTTGTGAACAATTCAGAGGTTTTTATTTGTCACACACACACACACACACACACACAAACAATATGTGTACTGAAAGCCATCACAGTACTGCATGTATTTACCTTGTAAATGTCGTGTGAAGGTCTCAGTGCCTCTAACACACTCCGGTGTTACAAAAACTTTGCCCACTGTTCACAAACTGCACCGACAGTCTGACACATGGTGGGTTCTCCAAAGATTTGTCAACGTCAATGTTGTCCATGTGTCCATGTGCGATGTGCACAGAATGCGGTTGTACTGTGTCGGAGTACATTGTAAGTGGAAACAAATGTCTGTGAGGCATTTTTTCAGTCCATTTCTGGAGAGCTGACATGCTGATCGCTGCCTAACTTTCCAGTGGAAACCCTTTTTTTTTCCTGTATATTTTTGAGACACAGATTAAAACTGAAAAAAAAACCTATGGGTAAGTTAAACACAAATGTTGTGCCTTCCTTCACTTAATGTTTACAGATAGACTCGCATTACTTGAAAGCTGTGTAATGAATTCCCCTGTATGATGTTACTCTCTATACGCAGCTGGATTGACACAAACTTCTTCCAAAGTCCACGTGGACACTTGGGTTAACAGGCACAAAGGAGAAAAGTATGGACATTACTTACTTTGTCAAGTTCTTCTCTTGCTAGTATCAAACCATCTGTCTGTGGGATTATTCCAAATCTACTGTGCACGCGTCACCGTTAGTTGTTGACCACTTATTCCTTGGATGGTCTTTCTGGGAATGGAAAAGAGAGAGAGAGAGGGGGGAGAGAGACAGAGAGAGAGAGAGAGAGAGAGCAGTGGGGAGGAAATGGAGGCTGGTGTGACAGTCTCTCTGCCTGGAGGAAAGAAAGAGAGAAAATAACACCCTTTGGGATTTTGAGGTGAAGCTAAAATCTCCGAATTCCACCTGATCCACAAATGGTTTCAATTACGGCCCGTTGAGCAACAGAATCTGGCAGCTTCCACGCGGAGCTACCGACAAAAACAGACTGGAGTTCATTTATTTTCCTCCAGAGGAAAACTTTCCTAATTAGAAATAAAATCCCTGCATGCAAACAATATGCGTCATAGCTGTGGGTTGAAATGGACGCTGCAACTGAAGCTTGTAAATCAATATGTAAATACTAACAATGGTTTGGTATTGAAAAGAACACACAATGAATAAAGAATTATGTGCAGATGTTTTGTAACATTTTATTTATCATGCAGCACAGTTCTCATGAAAAGGTTTTTTTACAGAGACATAAAAGATTGTGTTAATGTTTTGAGCAACCAAAGCTGACATCGGTTCTAACACAGTACTGACCTGAAAACACATTTTATTTTCTGTCATTAAAAACACAAGTATGGAAATATTCCACTCAATGGTTTGTGTTAAAATAAAGTGAGCTGTAAATGTAATGACAACAGAAACAAAAACGGGGGGAAGACCGTCACTACTATGTGTTACTATTACGTACCCACTTTGACATCTGCTCCCGGACTGCTAAATGCTAACCAACAAAAGCACAGCACACAATAATAATATATCATCTTATAAAAGAGTAAAATGCCCATGTTTCCAGTGTTTCTGCTAAAAACAGAATGCTGGCTCTACCTTCATATTAACTATTTAGTCTTCTCATCTATATTCCTATATGACATAAATAGCCACAAACTTGCCTTTAAGGCGGCACTGGAAAGGCAGATTCCTCTTGACAAGCCTACGATTCCACATATTAGTTTTAGGGGAACATGAGATTTCCAATTTCAACCCTTGTTGGCGCTAGAGGGAAAAAATGGGATCAACCAAAGATATAAGAATGAATCGAGAACGATGAATTTCTGTACAAATTTCATGCCGATTCGATGTTAGATATTTGACAACATTGAAAACCATCTCGTGAGCATCCATCGGCCAATAATTCAGACTGGAGGTGCTGGACCGACCGGCTGACATCTCCATCTCCCTCCTCTGCTAAAAGGACTTTTTGAATTACTTTTACCTGCAGAATTCAACAAGGGGTGAGCTGAATGCTGAATGACACTCTCAGTTTTCATTATAATCAAGTAAGCCAAAGTAGAGGCCGCGTCCTGGAGGCTTCCGGTCTGTGTCAGGATGGCGGCCACACTCGCCGAGCTGCGGGGTCTTGTGGCTGCATGTGGGCGGGTAATGGTGGATATTCTTAATGTTTTCACACCTCATCTGCAGCGTTGCATCAAGCCGCCTGCACACACAGGTGAGCCTAATGAGAGATGTGCCTATTTACCAACTGCAGCTGTTTTAACAATAACAGAGAGCGCCCTCATCCCCACAAAAGGCCGTCAGCATGGCAGCATCTTATTATCAATTTTAATGAGAAAAACACTTTCCTAAAGGTCAGCGCAAGAACCGTCGCTGCTTACCGCCAGACGTACTCGTGGTTATATCAACAGAAGACGGATTTCAGCAATTAGCAGCGCACACTAAATGGACTCAACGGCTCTTGATAGCAGGCGGCATTTGAGAAAAGGGCACGTAATTCCACACGGAGAAACATTGATTCAAGTGCACTTTAATCCTTAGTACACTTTATGTGAACAGACACAACTTGGTGACAGAGGAATGCGGGTACGGAGGAGAGGGGAGGAGGTGACGAGCTTCAGGGAACAAGAGGTGATTCGAAGGAGACAGGAGGAAGAGATTAATCGATTTCTCAGAGACACGATTCAGTGATTCAGAGATGTAGCTCACAGTCAGCAAGGTGGAGCTGGAGAATATGCAAGAGTCCAGGAGTCTTATGCACCTCCATCTTTCTCTAAGATGGTACTTCAGGTCTTTCCAGGCAATTCCTCTGAAGGGTAGAGGAACAGTGAGCAAGCATTTCACGTTTGCCGCAGTACAGCTTTAACAAATGACACTTTCAGTGGTCAGTAGCTACATTTTTAAGCAGCAGAAACCAGGTTGTAGCAGCACCTGCACACAGTGAGATGTTTGTCTCTCAGACACACAATCATTTAATCAGAAAGCGGTCTTCTCGTGATATAAAACACTATAGAGAATAGTATGAACTCCACTGGGTCTCGTGTTTTATGCAATGCAAATAAGTCAATCAAACTGTATACAGTGTTTTGGAATGAGAGAAAAAATGGACTATTCACGACTTGCTTATTTTTTTTAACATTACATTGCAAGCGCAGTAAGGATTTAGTTTTCACACCAAAAGAAACGTTTTAACATAACCAGACATAGTTGGTCTTTCCTTCACAGATCTTCATTTAAAAACAACGAAAACGACCAAACTCGAGCCGGAATTTGCCACAACTCCATAAACACAGACAAAACCACACTGTAACAAGCCAGGAAACCAAACGGATGTGAGGCACAACATTAATCAACAACTAGACGGCAGAGATTTCCAGAGAGACGGAGCCTGAAACGACACCATGTTTATGCCTTCTGACAGTTGGACAGAAGTCGCAATCCCAAATCCAGAGCGACACCTGATTTCTGGTGTTATGGGGATCTTTGATGCATCAATTTAGTTGATGAATCTCTCTTTCTTTTATCAAATGCGCCTGACTCATAGAAGTGGGACAGTGTGCACAGGGAATCAAAACAGAAGGTGAGCGAGTCAGCCCAAGATGCCCTTCACATTCTGAACGCGAAGCCGTTTCCCCACTGGGCCGGCGCGCAGGTGCAGTGTGCAGTCTCAGTAGCACCGCTACACGGCCATCTCGTCCCCCAAGCAGTCCGCCAGACACTCTGCGTTCAGCACGTTCAGCAGTCGAGCCGCGCCGTCGGACCCGCTGCCCTCCCCCTGACCCCAGCTGTCCCGGTCGTCGCTCTCGTCCGTGTTCGATTCGTACTCCGATCCGATCCCGGACTCCCGAAACCGGAGGAGCTCCAGGGCCCCCAGGACCTGGTCCCCTAGCAGCGGGCTTCCGTCCGGGCCTCCGTCGCCGGGCGTTTCCCCCGCGTCCCGGCCGTGCTCCTGGAGGTCCGGCCCGCGGGAGGTGAAGCGGAAGCACTCGAGGCGGACGCCGCTGCCGCTGAGCTCCAGCGGGCCGGTGTCGGCGCCCGAGGCGCCAGGAGAGCGGGGCCCGAGGAGGGCGGAGACCCAGGGACTGTCGCTGATCTGGACCTGGGATGGAGCTGAAAAGGGGCCTGTGAACGAAGTAGAGCTGGGGGGCTTGGGGCGGAAAGTGATCTCCAGAAGACTGTCTTGGGAGCCCACTGAGGACAGAGAGAAAATACCAGCGTTTATAAGGTAAGACGGGAGAAGAGAGGTGCGAGGAAAGTCTGTGCTGACAGGATTTGACAAAACGTGACCACACGGCAGCAGAGAGCGTTACTGAGTCCTCTCAGGGGGCTGCCATGGGACAGTTAATTACGTGCCAGAAGAAGATGAGAAAAGAAGCCACAACGACACGAAGGAGGCCCACTCGGGAAAAGAAAGACAATTAAACGAGGAAACAGATGACAATAAATGAAGTATGTTTCCACTCACTGGATGTTAATTGGCCAGCAGCTTTAAGCTCCAGTTCCTGGATCTGTTTGACTAGCAGGGAAATGTGCTGCAGCAGGTCGGTGTTCTGCTGCAGAAGCCTCTGGACTCTGGCCTGAGTTTCAGTCCGCGCACACAACTCCACGGACAGCTGCTCCTGGAGGACATGGACCTGCACAGGCCAACACACACACACACACACACACACACACACACACACACACACACACACACACACACACAGCAGTAAGACGCTACCTGCTCATTAAAATCCTCAGGTGCTCCCATATCAAAGGAGACAGGCTGAAGATCAGTGATGAGAATCAACATTGACACGGTCTGATATCAGCTGCTGGCTCTAACTCTCAAAGGCGCTCTGCTACAAATCTTCAGAGGCCCTGAAACCACAATATTTCATTTCACAGTTTAGTTTAGAGGAATAAATGAGGTGAGGATGTAATAACCTGAAGAGCCCTGAGAAAACCCTATTAAACACACCGCAGATTGAAAATCTAAACCGCTCTATTATACGATGTCCATATTGTTTTGTGTCAAGCTTCACAGAGTTATCCAATAATCTTGCTTCAGGGATTTTTATGTGCATCTTAATACCACCGTATTCATAATTGTTCCTTTGGTTTTCAGGCCCTCATCAAACAAACATTCTGTCATTTTTAAATTGAGTCATATGTTTTTTATCCACCTGTCCGTCTATCTCGGCTGGATGGATTTGATTGCCAGAGGTGGAATATCTTTGACTTTGACCACACCAGCAGGGAAACCTTTGTGGGTTTTAGGGTTAATGTTTCAACAACTGTTGCATCTGTTGCTGTGACATTTGGTACCCACGTTTATGTCGTACTCAGAAGGAACAATACTATTTTGGACTATTCTGTGGACTGTGAACTCACTGTGGACAAATGGGTATCACACGAGACAACAGCTGACATCCGTATACCTGCTCTGAAGCTGCCAGAGCCTGTTGTTCCTGCTGCTGCAGCTGTTTCTGGAGCAGCTGGACCTGGTGCTCTGCAGAGCAGGGAGCCTCTTCTACTGACAGACCCGACACCGAGGCCGCGAGGATGAGGGAGTCCAGCAGGAGAGACGGGTCACCAGGCACCTGACACAGAGGACAGCTAATTGGGTTTTTCTTCTAATGACATCAAACATGTTACTGTGGCGTTTTCCTTCCCTGAAATGTGTGTTCAGTGGTGGTCGAGCATAAGCGCCACCCCACAGGACTCCTACTCACAATGAGAAACACAAACAAAGGGCGTCAAGGTGCATTTAGAGTACGTATGGCTGTGGTAGGGCTGTATGTGAAGAAGAACCCCGTAAGTGTAGGGTAAGTTAGTCAGAGCGGAAAGTAAAACATCACATGAAAGCTTGTGTGTACAGTAACACATCTAGAGAAGTGGTTTAAAAGCTGACAGTCGCTCTCTGCCAGTCTGAGCTCCTTCGGGGGAAACAGTCAGTGAAGATATGCAGCAGCAGCAACACTGTCTCTTTTCATTCTGGTGGAAGAATCCACAGATGAAATATCCCCATCCTGGCTTAACGCTCCAGGCCTTACTGAAGAAATTCTGTGATGAAGTCTTAAAACTTACTTAGACCTATGTTCAGAGCTGCTTCAGTTCATGAATTAATTCAGAACATTTTTCCCAAAATAACCTCCAGCACAAGAGGAGAGAGCTGCAGAGAGATCAGTGCCGTGTGGATTGTATGAATGCACGAGGGAAGAGATGTATTTCACCATCGCACACCAACAGTGACGCGTGTGTAGAAAAAGGAGCTCGGCCATTGGTTAATGTCTTCTACAGGCACTGTGGCAAACCTTTGCATAGGCGACTGCAGTTTTAGGTTGGATTTGATTTGAAAGAATCCTTTTTTTTTTTACTCTCTCACTTCACATGGACTAACAAACGGAGGCAAATCTGCAACTACAGCAGAGTAATGAATCATATAGTCACGGTGTTAAGGTACACTGCTTATGGATGTGACACGCGGTGGTACATTAGGGAGCACCTTCACCGGTCGGTTTGCAAAACAACCAAAGAAGAAGAAGAACAAGAGACCAACGAAGCCGCAGGAGGGCAGAGCTCCGGTGACAAAAAAAAGATAAAGGTCTGTTCAGTGTGTCGACTTCACCCGCTGAGAGCGATGGGGTGCTGAGGGGGCGGCAGCACCTGCGACTAACAGTTCATGAACAGTACACAAATGCTACATAACGAATAGCTGCGTAATGATGAGTTACCGTATACCGTTGATGTACCTCAATTACCTCAAAATACCTAAAAACAACAAAAAAGAAAAAGGTTGTGTCTCCTCATCGCACGCCAGATTTTTATTTGGCCTAACGGGTCGTGGAGATTGAGTGAATAAATCAGGGACTGAGAGAGAAAGAGCAGAGAAATTCAACCTGTGGCAGATCGAGGGTCAATTCAACGAACACGCTGCAATATTGGTAACCATGGAAATAAAACCTAGCTGTTCCCCAGAAGAGGACGTCCAAGTTGCTCGGCAATGCAGTTGTGTGTGTGTGTGCGTGCCAGTGTGTGCACTACACAGTGTGTAATATGTTTGGCTTCTTAATATTTTACTCTGCTGTTACCTCCACGAATTGTCAAGTTGTTTTATGCGAGAGGTTAATATTTTTTAATATTTTGCCGTACATTTTAAACGCGGGGCACCATGAGGATCTACGAGTAGAGGAGCAACATTTCATCTAATTGTGAAGATGGTGTTTGCATGCGGATTGAAGCTATAAATAGTTCAATACATATTGACTGAATGGGCTGCTGCCTGGTCAGGTATTGTGATTATGTTAGAGTGCTGCTGTGAGGAAAGCAGCCCTGAGAGACACGACTCATCTCTGATGTATCTGAGATGAGAGATGAATCAATAAATATGGTGGACTCAGTTTTTCATTAATACTTGACTGTGAAGGACACTTGACCTTCAGAATACAGGGATGAAATGCACACGACACGTGGACATATGGTACAACGGTATAATAGGTTTCTTATTTGTATAATTAAATAATAAAGACATACTTGTCCTCAGGCACCCATTTATTTGCACGTAATATTCATCAATTGAAGCCTCCAAATAGAAAAGCCGACAGATCAGACAGAGTCTGTTTGAGTTATCGGAGATTCGATAGCTGCTTGTTCAACATGTCAGGGTTAGCAGAGCAACACTGAAACGCTTTGATTCGCTTTAATAAACCATGTGATCACATCAATATTTAAGAGCCTGGAGGAGCATTTCATCACAAACGTGCCTTAAGGATGCCGTTTCTTGCGGTAGACCCCTTAGCGGCATTTACATTTCATACGACTCCTCGTGATGCCAAATATTCATCCACACCCTCTGTGGCCTTCAAACTTCCCACCATGATTTATTACCAGGGTATTTCTGACTTTATAGATAAATGTTTCTGAATATTGGATGTCGTGCTCTGCCAAATGCACCCTTCTTTATTCTCAGATGTCTCCTCTGAAGGAATGACTCCACGTAAATGCAGCAGTGACTAAGACACTGATCCATTAACTTGTTTTCTGTCATCTCTGGAGCACTGCAGTTCGGTAGCAGGACTTTAATGCTGAAACAATTATTTATTAATATAAATGATTGATCATTTTATGGGAGATTACGGTTATTTGGTATTTTAAATGTGGGACATACGTATGTTGCTGTTTTATTTAGAATTGTACAGCACTAAGACATAAAGAATTCTGTTTTGAGGAAATTTTTGGACCTTCTTACACTGTCTAGAATGAACGATTCTTCCATTCATTGAGAATACAAATGTGCGGCATGTATTTTAGCTGCTGTGTCACAGTAGTGAAGCCATAAGGATAAATAAATGACACAGGCTGTGAGCGACACTCAAATGATTTCAAAGGACTTCTGCTCTTTACCTTCTCATTGTTACCGAGCGCCTCGTCCTTTTTGCTCTTCTCCAGGCCGGATGAGGAGACACACTCAATGCTCTCCTCTGTGGTGGCTTCAAGGTCGGCCCCTTCTGACAATGCAAACCTCTTCTTTGCTGCAGAGACACCAGATGCACATGAAGGAGAACTTGCATGCATCTTTTTCTTTGACCGGCTCTGCCACATCAGCGGGCAAAGAGCCGGCAGAAGTCGGTGATCAACGGATCGCCCGGCTCACCAAAACACATCTGCAGCTGCGGTAGGGCAAGCTGCTGGAAAAAAACGAATTATGGGCAGCGGCGGATAATGACATCTTTTCTCATCTCAGTTCTCGCTGCGTTGTTCTGGAGCCACTCAGGGTTTTAGTTTGTGATAAAGAGAAAGCGAAGAGATAAGCAGAAATAAATAGAGATAAATAAAGATAAATGGAGTGGGGCTGCGTGAGGAGATGAAAAGAGCTTGTGTTTGTATACGTGAGGCAGAAGGAGAACAGGAAGGACAAGGACAGAGACGGGAGGGTGCAGTAGATTTGTGGATGCAATTTGTGTGTGTGTGTGTGTGTGTGTGTGTGTGAGTCACCTGGCACTGCTTCTGAGTCTTCTGCCTTCCCCTCCTCATCTTCTTGGTCATCGCTTTTCTGCTGCAGGGTCAGCTGGTGACACACATCAAACGCCTGCCCCACCGTCCGTACGATCCTCATGGCCTGTGACTGCAAAGGGAGGACACGAAGAAAAAGTGTGCTGGGGTGTTAAGAACAGGGCCGGACGGGGGGGCAATGGGAGCACAGTAAGGATGGCGTGTGTGTCTGTCTATGTGTGTTTTTATGCAAAAATGTTAGCTGGAGGAGGCGACGTTGGGGGGCAAAATGGCAGGTGAGAAATGAAAATGGAGGGAAAGAGGAGGGCGTATTGAAACCAATTGAAGTCAGGAGATGTTACGAGCACATGGTCCTTGTCTATTCACTCTGCATACATTCTGCTGTCATGGTGATGGATTGGTGTATTTCAGAAGCTTTGCATGCAGAGGGAGTGAAGATTGAGTCTGTTGTTATTGATCAAGGCTCAGTAGACATGCCAGGACCAGATTTAACGTAAAATATTAGTGAACTCTTTAAAATACATAAAAGACACATTTCACATCAAAATGTATTGCTTTTAATTTTGGTTCAACGGGTGGCTTTGTTTACTTTCTGCTGCTGCAAAACTGAATCGATTGGTCGAAACAGCAAATAAATCTGCAGTTGCTTCCATTATTGAATAGTATCAGATACTGTGACTCAATTAGGGATATTTGCAGCTTTTCCTTATCTCATGTGGTGGTAAACAGAGCGGCTTGGGGGGAGTTCTGCTCTGACAAAAGAAGGGATTTGAAGACATGACCTTGGAGTTTGGGGCAATGTGACTATTAAACAATAAGGAAATTAATCGTTAGGCTTTTAAAATGTTCTGTGTATGTCAGGTCATCAATATTAATATTATAGATTGAATACATATTTTATTGGCTTAAATGGGGCACACAGGAAAGAAAATTCAATGCAGCGTTTGAGACACCAGCCCTTCTAAAGCTGTATGCAGTCCGTGTCCTTTCCTCGTCTCGGAGACGGCTTTTCGTCTTTTGATTAGTGGCAGAAGCCAGAGTTTCAATGAATGTATTGTGTATGTATACGTCAACGTAACGCAGCCCAAAAGCAGCTCAATTGAGTGAAATAACGAAAGAATAAAACAACAACACATAGACAAACTGATGAATTGATTTCCTTTTGTTTTTAAAACTGTGAGGTTAAACTACCAGCACTGAGCTGACATCGAAGCCCTGTTTTGGTGCCATGAAAAATAAATCAAATCAAATCTGCCCTTATAAGCCGGCCCATCTCCTCCTCCTCAGCCCTCATGGTTGGTCTGGAGACCCTGAGATAAGGCTGCGCGGCCCCGGGGAGCCGGTCCGCCTCAACGTGTCGCTGGCGTTGTGGTGGGTGTTCGTCCGCCGGCAGTGAAAACGCCTCAAACTGCTAAGTCAAATAGCCCCTGTCCTTTTTTCTCTTCCCACCAGGATTATTAGTATTCAGCTTCACTGTCAGACCGGTCGTCATGGTGAAGGGATGAGAATCAACCTCCCTGCCTCTCTGTGTTTGTCATGGAGGGAAAAAAATATCCCTGCTGCAGATATTTGAAGGTTCAAAAGGATTTTAGCTTGGCGGAGTCTACGGGTCAGACTCGCGTATTCATTTGCCGCATGCGAGGGCCTACAGTACAAGACGTTACCCAGGCAACGGGCATAATATTATCCTTATTTCATTGACAGGTGGTGATTGCTGGAAGAACAAAGCTCGAGATCTTCTGCACTTTTGTAAAATACCAAGAAAATAAACAAAAAATACCAAAAGAAACAATGCGTTGGTCGCCTACAGATGATTTGCAACCTCCCCATACTGACCTGTTGCTGTATTTTGGGATAAATGCTTATGATTTCAAAATGATTTCCTCCTTGTGTGTGTGTGGTAAATATTATGCTTCTGACATGTTTGAGCAGATGTCTACTGCGAAGCCTGTATGGATGTGATATGATCGCTAACGGCGTTGGGGGGCTTGGCTCTGGTTAAACCCTTTGTAAAATGTAAGAAAATGCATAAATAAATGCTTTATTCATTTTTCAGTCAGGGTGACAAATTCAGGAGGGAATATAGAACATTTCCTTTAAAGAGAACTACATCTAAATCTACTTCCATCAACGCAAACTCACATCTTTTTCCTCTCGTTGACACTGAGAAGAATATAAGAAATCTTAAGACTTGAACAAACGTACCTTCCTCTTTGACTTGAAAACATTGCAGCGGAAAATGCTGCTCTGTCCTTCTCTCGCTATATAACTGAAGATCTTCAAGTCTTGGGCATCATGTGAGACATAGAAGATCCTGTTAAAAGGGAGACGACACACAATTGTTCACACAGTTGGTCGCTTAATTGATGTCTTTGCGTTTGATTTGATGGCTACCTGTAGATGGGATCCTGTGTCAGTAAGACGGTACTATCATCCCATGACCATCCTTTTCTCTGTTGGAACACCAAGAGAAACTGTTAACAGCGACAACGGTGGTGAAAATGATTTAATTCAAATAGAATGGCACTTTAAAGGACTGACCTTCCTTTTTTTGCGCAAAATAACTTTGACACAATCGGTAGATACGACAATGTTGACCTTCTTTTTCTTAATATTCTTCAGTTTGAATTCATACTGTGAAAAAAAAATCTTTAATTAACATTCAAAGTTGGAAAATTCAAACATTATATAAAGCGTCACCAGTTACGAGCCTGCTCAAATGGAGACCTTTACACAAGATAAATGAAGTGTGTGAGCAGAGGGAATCATGCAGACAGGAAGATATTTCTGTCAATTTTCCTCATGGGCCGAATGTGAGATTGAGTAAACACCGTGAGTTTCTGTTCCTGGGAGCTGTTTAAGCCTTTAGAAGTCGGACTTCCCAGAGGGATGCTGACGTGTGTGGGACACTTTCATCCCTCTTCGTGATTAATGCCTGAGCCTGTATCCTCTGCCGACACCGAGTATCAAGGCCCGGAGATCTAAGGACAACCAGGACTTATGTGAAATAACGCGCCTCGCTTTGAAAACGCAACATCCAACATCGGATGATTAATTGATCAGGCGGAGATCTGTGAAACCTTTTTTGGAGGGCGAGCCGCTCTGCGTGACTGAGTTTTATATTCTCTGTCATCTCATCTCGGATTTGTGTAAAAATAACAACCTGACGCTGTTTTCTATTTTTTTTTGCAGGAAAAAACTGCGCTCACGCTCTTGTATTGACAATTTCGAACAATATAATAAATCTTTGCAGAACGGTGGCGTGGTGGTTAGCACTGTTGCCTCACAGCAAGAAGGTCCTGGGTTCGATTCCGCCCAGTGGTCTTTCTGTGTGGATCTGCATGTTCTCCCCGTGTCTGCGTGGGTTCTCTCCGGATTCTCCGGCTTCCTCCCACAGTCCAAAGACATGCTCTGGGGGTCAGGTTAATTGGGGACTTTAAATTGCCCGTAGATGTGTGAGTGTGAATGGTTGTATGTCTCTGTGTTAGCCCTGTGATTGGCTGGCGACCAATCCAGGATGTACCCTGATCGCCCAAAGTTGGCTGGGATGGACTCCAGCCCCCCCGCGACCCTGTGTGCAGGATAAGCGGTTTGACAATGGATGGATGGATGGATAATAAATCTTCCGGTAAGTCGGAGAAGAAAAGGGCTCGTTATTATCAACAATCCGTATGGGGGGGATTTGAGCCCTGATGCATCTGGTGCAGTTTATAAGCCTGTCTGACCTGTCACATTTTGCAGAAAAGCACCTCACCACAAGATTCAATGGGCCATCGTTCCTTGTCACACGCTCTTATACAGTTCATCGGTCCTATTGTTGTGTAGGAAGTTCCCTCTGTTGCAGAGGTTTTAGGTGAAGGACACAACTCCCATAGTGTGTACGTGTTACGCAGGCCAAAGCAACGGCTGGGAGCGGAGGATCATCCATCTCCAAACACACTGCTGTGTTAGATACGTTTTCATGCGGATCAGCCGACGGCCCCGAGCATACCTAATACTCCACAGGTCAGCTCACCTCTCACCACTGTGAGGGCTTTGAGGACGGGTTATCCTATGAATATTCACAGTCCGTCTCCCCACAAGCAAAGACTCTTAATCACTGTCATTACGCACCTGACTCTTTCACGCACCTGTTTTATGCTATCATCCATAAACTCGCCCACATTGAATGCACGACTGATTGCGTGTGAACCGACACACTTCACTCGTTGGTCTATTAATGCATTCTCTTTTATGTATTCTTTTGTCTCCTTCCATTTATTATGTTTTTACATGAAAGCGTTGGAGATACGCATTTAATTCTTCATTTGATAATACATTCGATTTAAATTGGCTTGTTTAGGTACCGGTGAAAGCTTTGGCCATCAAGCTTTTTATCAGCCTTAGGATAACCCTGTGCATTGTATCGGTACCCCTATGTTATTTCTTGAGCTTCTGTATCTAAAACTCTTTCATAATGCGTTACGGGAACAACTGTGGAAGTCTCAAATTGTTCATAGCCTACGAACGACCAATTCAAACGGCATCACTAAACCTCTGCCCGCCCAATCAAACGGCCCTCGCGCCGCACTGTACACCAAGGGATCAGGATTAAGAGCTTCCTGGGTGCAACTGGCGATGTGGCCGACCTCCGACTTACTCAGTGACTTGGTCCTCAGATTGGATTCAACAGCTGACAAACAGCTAAATCCTCTCCTCCCTGTGCTCCTCCGTAACGCTGCAGCGGTGCACACTACACTGCTGGGTTATTTCATCTACCCAAACGCTGAGTTATGACATGTTCTACCCATTACGGGTTATTTATAGGAGATTTGGGTTATTTTTGTGCAACTCATGTCAAAATTCATCAACCCAACATACATCAATTGACCCAGCAGCTGGGTTGTTTCGAACTGTATAGACAAGTTTCCCGGGCACTTCCGGTTTACTTCCTGTTTCTGCCAAGAACTTCCGGCGCAGGCTGAGTAGTGGTGTAAAAATGGCTTTGGAATGGCAACATTCGACCGAAAATCTTGTTAAAAATGGTGTTTTGACCATTCCGCATCCAAGTAAGGTAACATCATGGGCGGACAACATGTCGATATGGCCCAGCATCGCAACATCCAAGATCTTTTCTTATTTTATTGATTCCATGGCGGTGGATGGGAATGCAATTAATAACCTGAAAAGCTCATAGGCGTTTCAGTACCTCCATTCCGAGAGAGTGGGCTGTGTGCTTTTACACAATATGGGCAGTTTAATTTACCTAAAGGCCGATGTCCAACCAAGCCAGTCCGTTAACAATTCAGCGCATAACGCCTGGGTTTTGGTTACCAAGAGATCTGGAGACTGCAGGCTGTACCTGTAGCCATGCAGCCGCCGTGCTTTGGAAGGTACGTTAGCCCATCTTATGCTTGTATTAAGATGTTTGTATGTATCTGTGTGTTAATATAACAGAACACGAAGAGTAATAAAAAGAAAAATGAATCCCCTCTAGCCTGCCTGCACTAAAAGCATGCTTTAACCCTTCAAAGTCGACTGACGAGTGTTAAAGTGCGCACCCCTGACATATCTATTAATAGCTTCGGAATGGATAAAGATATTAACTTACTTTTTTTTCTATGAAAAAGCTGACATTCGTCTGCGTAACAATTAGTAGACTGTGTTGACTTCCGCGAATGATAAGCCTTCCGTATTTGAGTGCAAATCTATAGCGCCTTGTAGATGGTTGATGGTCGAAACATTCTCCTTCCGACCAAATATTCAGCAATCGCCACGAGTTGTTGCAACCGTGAACAGCACAATATGTCCCAGAGCCGTGTCGGCGTGTAACACCATCCATAGTTTAATTTTTCTGCACGCTAACCAAAGACAGTAAAAGACGCTAACTCGCTAACCGGAAGTGCTTGGCAGACACAACAGGAAGTCGTTGGCAGAGTGAAAGGCCAATGGCGGCCCGCCTATTTCACTCAGGAAACTTGTCTATAAGTCTGCAAAAACCCCTGCAAAAGCGCGTAGGTAACCCCACACAGCCACCAACGTCTGACCCTACAGTGACACAAGAATACTACATTTTGGATCAGGAGCTGCCAAGGTAAGAAAGTATTATCCTGCTTGTATTCATCAAAATGTTTGTTAAATTAAATCTTGAATAGGAAACTTGATAATCCTACACAGAGTATACATTGCTGCAGTAGTTTTAAGTGACTTAAAAAACTATTGTTTATGGCCTAGTTTGGCCATTAGTTGTAAGCTAATGTTAGTTAGCTTAAAATAGCTAACGTTAAACTATAGACTTGTGGAAGTTTGTGATTTTCCACTCATAAATAATTTCTCAAGTAACTGAGTAAATCATGACAACCCATTTGCCAATTATAGCGCATGGCTATTAACTTAATTCACTGATGTTAGTGTCCTTTACTGGACTTAAAATGCAATGATACCTTTTATAATCAATTTTAAGTTTTAGTTTAACACCATTAAATCACCCAAATCACATATTTATTTATTTACAGTGCTGTTTTAGGAGCTAACGTTAATAGAGGGAGAGTCATTGGCGGGAAAAGTTTTTTGTTAACTCGCGCGCCCCAGTAATATTGTGCTTGAGCACGTCCTTTTCTGGCGCTATCAGTGGTGTTGCTGCGATAATTATAAACGAATCATCCATGTGTAATGATGTTTTTTCTGTTTTACAGTCTTACAAAAGAGACCAAAAAGGCCATGGCATCCTGTTTGATTCAGTCATTTCCCAACTTGAGAGACTCCTCAAGCAGTGGCAGTGTGAGTGTTTTGTGACAACGGTCAAATTCTAACTGTTGCACACGCTATCAAGATCAAGATGTGCCTAATCCCATTCATCAGATCAGAAGATTTTCATTTGGAAAAAAATTTTCTTACAGGTTTGTAGTTGAACAGTTTTATAGACAACAAATAGTGTGTAGTTGAATGAACCCAGAATTGTAGTTAATTTGACAGCATTTGGGTAGAATATTTAACAACTATGTGTAGCTGAAACGACCCAGAATTGTAGTTAATTTGACTCTGCATTTGGGTAGAATAGTTAACTCATCTGTTAAAATGGACCAACCCATCGTGCTGGGTAAAATTAAATACTGCTGGGTTGGTGCAATAGTCACCCAGCGGTTGAGTGGTTATAAAACAACCGCGGCTTCCTGTGGCCTTGGAGAGCAGACGGTTCATCGGATGTATCAGAAATCCGCTCGCCGTCTCTCCTCCGCCATAAAAATCTTCCATGATTTAAACCGCTACTGACAACCCACTGAATCTGCCGAGTGTGTAGTCAGACTGGTGATTTGTGTGTAAAGACGATGTGGAGGGGAGTGAGTGCCCTCTGAGCCCCGTACACAAGGTGAGAGGTAACACACACACACACACACACGCGAGAGACAGGGAGTAAATGTTTGTGCCATTGCATCTAGTTAATATGTTTGGACTGCTGTTGTCACAAGAGTCAACTTCAGCTAGACGTCTGGTTCAGGGAGGTCACACATATAAAGTTTCTTACACGGATTCTCCTCATGGCAGCGACTATCTCCATCCGGCTGCCGGGGCGACCCACCTCCAAACTGCCAATGTACTGAAATGTAAAAGGGAGGTTTAAAGATTGACAGTTTTAGGGAATGAATCTTGACAGATTCTTCAGACATTTTGGCAAATATTCCAAATATGACAATTTTCTTTGTCTGTTTTGTTAGCTTTTTTTGCTTTTCCATGTCTTGCATTATAGTAAAAGTAATACAGACTTTGGATACCTATAGGCTTAATGCTATGGGTATTTTTTATAGTTCCATTACTCGATTATCAATTGAGAAAGTGTTGCAGCGCTATTACATTACATTCAGCTGGGTTCCAGGGGCCAAATAAAGTGTGTATACTCACTCTAGGATAACATCAAAATATATCAAAACCCTATTGGATAAAGTGAAATGCTCAAATTATCATCAATGATTAAATGATTAAAGCAACACTTCTCTGCCGTCTGCGTTCAACATCTCAAAGTCATGCAAAGTGGACACAAATGTAAAGTGGTAAAAGGTCAATAAACACACGCAACATACACCTACGGATGGAAATGGTTGTTGTTACAGAAGCAGTGACCCGAACAGCCCTCGTTCTAGCGTTGGATCCATCCAGAAACAAATAACCCACCGCTCCCCCACCCAGAAAGTATCTGTTGCAGAGGGTCCTTACCTTCGCCTCGAAGCACACCCCATGCTTAAACACCTCGTCGTTGTGCATGGGGAGCCTCAGGTCGTGCGCGTCATCCACTAGATTGTACTTGGTCACCCCTGGCATGGCTTTAACGTTGCCTCACTTCGTCAGGACTCGCGTTTTACGACCGCGCCACAGCACCTGCAGATTTGCGCATCTCCTCCGGCGCTGCTGCCTCCGCACTCTCTCTCTCTCTCTCTCTCTCTCTCTCTCTCTCTCTCTCTCTCTCTCTCTCTCTCTCTCTCTCTCTCTCTCTCTCCCCGTCGCACCGCAGGTCCTCCGGGTTTGAGGCGCCCCGGACCGCTTCGGATAAGTCGGCTAGACCGACCGGTTTCAATCGACGGCGCGCTGGTCGCTGGTCCCCTATGCGGGTTGTGCGCAGCGCCGCCGGGGGTCCCGATGACGCACAGGACTCCTCAGCGCATGATGTGTGTGTGTGTGTGTGTGTGTGTGTGTGTGTGTGTGTGTGTGCGTGTGTGCGCGCGTGTTTTATTTCCAAGAAGCACCTGGGCATCAGTAAGCAATTCACCGGAGTGAATGATCAATTTTCAGAAGCGCCAGGCTCTTATTATCCATTTAACTGGCTGTAATATTTAACGAATGGAGACGGACTTGTGCCTGTGGTCCATCAGCAGCTACAGCTGGTGTGTTCGTGTTTTTAGGACATCTAGTGGTATCACGGGGAACAAACAATTCCCCAGGGTTCCCCCAGGGACCAAGGTCTTATCTCAATACGAGGGTTAATGTAGACATTTGTTTAAAGTCACTTTACAAAATACATATATTTGTAATACAAAATAATGCAAGAAGCCCTAATTCTGCTGTAATAAGCTCACGCAGTGTCACACATAATACGCTCCTCCATATTGAGGGACACTGAGGTGTTGGTGGGTTTTTCCCACAGTGCTGACACACCGATTTACATCCTTCTTTCATTCCTCAGGTTCCACATGCTGCTTCTGCAGGTCCATTGTAAGGGGCGAAGGGATCAAGAAGCGAGGTGAAACAATGCACCAACTTCTCACAGTTGAGGAAGACTTCCTCATGACTTTTCAGTACAGATAATAAGATGAATAAGTATAAGATCTATTTGCAAAATGGGCATAGATCCGGGGGAAGGGAAGATTTTAAGACATATGCTTTCACATTCGATTAAAAATAAGCCTCAAAGGACAACGTAAAACAAAGTCAACCGGAAACAACCTAATGAGAAATGATCACAGGGATCTGCAGCTTCCCTCATGTAGCAGCTGAAAAGCCAGGTAGTTCCCCTTGGGGGGTTTCTGCTGCCTCTGAGGGGCCAAATAAATAAAATAATCCACACCACTCGCTCTGTCAACTCCTGAGTTAAACCTCTGGCTCTGTAGAAGCAAAAAGCTCCACCTAACGGGTCAGTACAGTTTGAGGGTGAGTTAAGGTCTTATTGGAAAACACAGCTGCGAAGAACTGCAAAACGGTGACCTGAAAGATGCTCAAACAAACCCTGCAGATCTGAGGGAACTGGTGTTTTTTTATCTGAAAGACACTTTCCAAATAATGAAATTATTTTGCAGTCCTTCACATTGACCAGTGCTTTAATAATCACTATAGCTGCATACAATTGGTATGCATGTTTAATTTAGCATGTTAAGGTACATCAGTGGTTTGACTGTAGAAAACACGTTTCGTTTGTAAAATCATTGCCTTTGTTTTCCTGTTACCTGTCAGGAAAATACTTCAGCCTCTGTCCAGCAGGTGGCAACAGAGCTCTTTGGGTTTTACAAGACGAAAGCGAAAAGTACCTTGCAGAGTCAAACATCCACTTTTATGTGACCTTCTTTATGGCTTTGTGGTGCTTTTGTTTTGTTGAACTGTCAGCAACAACTCGGTGTGATAGTGACACTCTACAACTCGAAATTCCATTAAGGTCCAAATGAACAGAGTGCTTCAGTCCATCCTGTTTATTGTGTTTGGGATTCAAGTGTGTTGCCTCTTTTTTATTTGGACAAATTGGGCTCCATGTGGACTCTTTGACAACCAGAAAGGTCACACCACGTGTGTGGTCACACGGCTATCGCTGGTTGAACGTGTGATGCAGCCATTCTGTGGATAAGAGGGGCAGCTTTTTAAATCACTCACCTGCTGTTGATCTGGTTGTGAGCGAGCAATGAGGGTAAAGTGTGGCTTCAGTGCACCTCTCTCTCTCTCTCTCTCTCTCTCAGCATCCAACCCGTCACGTGTGGAAAGGCATTCACGTTTTAAGTCATTAATGCTGTTTGTTTAAGAAAGGCAGGAATACATCTGAGCCCTTCCTTGATGTAAAACGGTTCCAATTGGCAGCCGATCCATGGCTGTATCTCTAGATGTGTTAGTTAGTGCACTTTACAAGGTGCTGTTACCTTTGAACTGAAACATAGCTGTTTCCTCTGGTAATCAGTCTTTATGTTGGGCTGCTGCTGTATTTACGGACATGAGAGTGTATTCACATTCACACTTATACATCCCACTTCGTTCTAAACTATTCGGTTCTGTTTGCGTTCCCACTTGAATGATCTGCTTGGGATCCTAATGCTTTTAGCTGTATCACTCCATTAGTGTTTGAATAAGTTGTCCAACATAATGTTGTATGTCTGCAAAGTTTTAAAGCTTTTCAGCATTCACAACAATGCCTCAAGTCAAATGCACCCTGCTAATGTTGAATAAGTAACAACATAGTAAACAAAATAGTCATATAAATGTCGGGAAGTGCTTTTTTGCATTAAACTGTCAGATTAGTGGATAATTTACTCTTAAAAAACTACTATTAATGTGGGAAAGGGGACAGTCCTGTCAAGTTTGTGTTCTTGTTTCTTGACACATTTAGTTAGCACACACTGATTTTGCTGGAAATATGTGACTTTGACTTCAGGAAGTATCTAGCAGAAGAACATTCTCAAATAAATTTCAAAGAAGGAAAATCTGATGACAGTTAAGAACACAGTGGGTTTTCTAACAGGCCTCACTCTGACTAGGTCGTACTTTAACTAAACCTTGGTGCACCTTGTATGTTTGTTTTTGTGTGCATTTAATATAGCCTCTATAACATTTTGAATAAAAAGGTGTTTCTACATTCCATCCTACGTGAGTGTCGTTCAAGAGGGGGAAACGCCCTGGAAAGAGCATCGTCCTACATTCGTACCTTGGGGCGAGTTGGGTCTCTGTCTTGTTTGCATGTTTTTGAACTGCAAAAGAAAGCACAGCGTACCGACAGAGGATGGATAATGAGGAAAAAGTAAAACAACATCTCCTCAGGCTCTACATAATTTTTTCCTGGAAATGTAAACTAAAAGCAAACATGTGTGACTTTACCTCACAGTGGTGAGTCACTGTATTTGCTGGACATGGCGGTCCTCTGCACTGTCTCCATATAGCATCATGTAATGAATTAATGCAGACCAGATGTTGCTCTCTTCTTATGTCTCATTTCAGAGTTTTAATATTGATGATAATTAGATGACATGTTTTTGAGACCTGACAAGATGCTATTTTTGTGAACACAAAAGAGTGTATTTCTGAATTCAGCCTATTAACATTTTATCTTACCATCTGAAGTAAATGAAAATGAGTCCAAGCTGTGATATATATATATATATTTTTTTTAGAGTGGATAGGACCACTCATCTGTGCTGGCTTTGTTCCCTTGGTAACCCTGTAACCATGACTGCAGTTTTTACTCCGTTCTCCCAAGTTCAAGCACCGTTGGCAACACTATTAATCACCTCTCACACCACAAATATGTGTTAAAATGAGGATGCTGACTCATTTCTACCAGTGAAGTAGGTACCCAAATCCACTGGTTAAACAGAGCTTCACATTATGTTTCCACCCTCCTGACATTCAGAGGTGTCCACTGAAACCGATCCACGCTTCAGACACTCTCATAAAAGACAGCACGGGCCCTCCCATGACAGCTCATCCAGGGGTGAGACGTGTCTGTCTTTACTTCACGGACTGTAAAACTTGATGATCCTGTTTCTGCACAAAAGACATTTTTTCGTAGTGTAAATATATATAACGGCTATTTCTGTCTAGCCAGCGTGAAACGACTATTATAAAACTTGAAAATGGAGATCATCCATCGGACTTTGAACAAATTAATAAAGACATCAAAGTAAAACCCAGTCCGTCACTGGAACTAATTTCTTAGTGTAGTCGGTCGTTTTGTTATTGTCTTGAGTTGGTTTGCTTCTAAGTAAAGGCCTGTCCTAACGAATACTTTTTATATATATATCTCTAATCATTGCAAACAAGAAACTATTATTGTCCTTGTCTGAAGCTATCTGTGTAGTCATTCATCTCGAAAGTTAAAAAAACTCCAGACTACACCTTTATGATAACGCAATGCAGAGGCAGAACAAATGATCCAAACAAGCCGCTGCCACACACATGTAGCCGCACCTGATCAGGTCTCCACATGCCTCTTTCTTTCCAAAGTATGTTCTGCGATTAGATATGAACCATGACTATCTACCTAAACAGACAGCTGGAGTGAAAAGCAAGCATGCATAATATATGTTTGTAACATTAGCTGCTACAGCAAAGAGGGAGGGACAATTATGAGTTAAATCCATCTGCTGAGGAAGGAAAACAAACCAGTGTTTGTTCAATGAATCTCAATTAGCGTATGTCCAGTAGAGGCAACCCATATTGTGTTCAAATGAAAGCTGCATTGGTTATTGCATTGTTGATAGAAAGCCATATTTTCTCATAAAAAAGATTAAATGTATCTGTTGATTTTCTTTAATTATCAAACAAAGTAGGAAGTAAATAGCAACCTCAGATTTAGTAGCAAACTCAGATTTGAGACTGAGTAGCAAACTGAAATGTTTTAAAAATCGAGATGCATCGATAATCGTCTTATCGACTTAGAATTGATAATCGATAATCGGTTTAGAAACTAATAGTTGACCTCTGAATCGGAATCGAATTGTGAGGTGCCAAGAGATTCCCACTCAGGTTGCTCATCGTGTTCTGCCTGCAGGATCTAGGACGGACCAAACACATTGATTATGATTATAGCAATTGCCTTGTTTTTTCACATAGTGTAGAGTCTAGACCATGATCTCAAACTCAAATCAGGTGTGGGCCAGATGCCCTTTACTTTTTCACTCTTTAATCATATATTTCACTATAACCGTAAGTATAGAATGTCACTTGACATATTGTTGACATATCCAATCCCCCCCTCCCATTTTTCAGAATTTGTTAAAACATCATGATTATTACAAAATCATAATAGATTACACCACACATTACATTAAAACTAGTTACCATGGTTACCAAATGGTCACCATTTAGGTCATAAATAGGTCATAAACAGTTGCTAAGCAACGAGGTTTGAGCTTTGATCAGATCACAGAGCTTAGTTATAGGTCAATTGCAGCGGACCAAGAAAGGAGAGACATCGTTTTGA